ATAACGACTCCCAATGCACGGCAGTTTTGGCCCATGACCATTTTCCTAGATTCTGACGGCTTTTTGACTGTAGAATCATGAACGCTTTAGCGTAATTACTCTTACGAACTACTCCTCGTATTGCCGTCAGCATTCATTCGCTCCTAGCCGATTCTTCGAAATTCCTTTTCCTATTGTAGTGAGCTGGAGATACCCTGTTTGGCTTTTGCATGCTGTGTAAAATATTACAAAATCACAAAATTAAATTTCCTCGATAGATACATAGCAAATTAGCCGCTCGCCCGTTTAAACGTTGCTCGCGTTTGTTTGAGTCAACATAGCATCTGCCTTCGAACGGCGCGACGCTCATCGGCTCCGCGGCATCTTTGCTCTCCGCGCATGCGACCACACCTTTCCCTAGCTAGCTATCTTCCCGCGCCTTATTTTAAGCACTAGATAGCGTTTAGCCCCAATAATAAACTTTTCCTAGCATTACTTTTGGTGTTCTACACTTATCGGAGGTTGGCCTTATTTTCGCGTATTGGTTTTAAAGCGTACCGATCCTGCTACGCGCTTTATTGTTGACCCCCCGACTTTTGGTCATTATCCGGTGAGTTTTCGCTACCTTTCTTTTCAGATTTGGCCACATTTTTTCGCTAACCCGTCTGATTTTCACTTTTCATTTTCCGGTTTAATCTCGCTGGCTCACTATTTTGCTCGCTATGGAAACTGATCGCGTAGATTCTGACGTTCAGATCGGCACAGTTACGCTTCCTATCGCACCTTTTCGCGAGACTAATCCTAAGTCTTGGTTTGGTCAGCTAGAGTCGCAATTTTCTTTGCGTGGTATTAGGTCCGAAAAGACCAAGTTCCACCTCGTCGTTTCCGCGCTTCCGCTAAATGTCATCGATGACATTGATGACATTCTAGATCTTCCTGACGACCAAAAGACTTACGATGCAGTCAAGACAGCTGTTCTGAGAAGAACAGGCTTATCCGATCGACAACGAGTTACGAAACTCCTCAACGAAACCGATCTTGGCGATCTTAAGCCGTCTCAGCTGCTTCGAAAAATGCAGAGCCTAGCTAAACCCACTTCGATAGATGATTCTTTTCTTCGGGAAATGTGGTTGCAACGACTTCCGCGCGAGATGCTACACATCCTCTGCGCTAGTGAGGATGCACCTTTATCCAAACTGGCCGATACAGCCGACCGAATTTGGGAGTCGTACGGCCAGGTTTCGCAGGTCCAGACGAAACCGGACGACGATATCGCCACGCTTAAATCCCAGATGGCAACATTGACTCGACAATTCGCAGACTTTTCGGCCTCCGGACATAACCGCTGTAAATGCTCTAGGAGCCGTTCGCGTTCACGTTCGAACTCTCCTTCGCGATCACCGAATAGAAACGGTTACTGCTGGTACCACGAACGATTCGGCCAGCAAGCTAAATCATGTCGCCCGCCCTGTTCCTTCAAACGACAGCAGCAGGGAAACGGGCGGACCAGCACGTAGGGGCGACGGACGTAGCTGGTCAACGCAGTCGCCTTTTCTTCGTCACCGATCGTAGAACCGGAGTTCGCTATCTCGTCGATACTGGCGCAGAAGTCAGCGTTCTCCCGCGTGATCCAAACGACCCGACCGAAAAGGTGACTAGCTCATTGCGCGCAGCTAACGGGACCATTATCCGCGTATATGGTCAACGCTCGCGCACGCTAAATCTCAGCCTCCGACGCGCTTTCAAATGGATATTCCTCGTTGCGGATGTTCAAACGCCTATCCTTGGTCTCGACTTCTTACGTCATTACGACCTACTCGTCGACGTTAAGCGACACCGTCTAGTCGACCGCCTTACGAATCTCGCAGTCATTGGGACTTTGACCGACACCGCGTCAATCAGTCCCGTGTACGCGACTCAACTTAGTTCACCCGTCGGGCAAACGCTGCTCGATAGTTTTCCGCAGACCTTCCGTCCTGCCGTCCCGTTGCCTTCCGCAACCGACGCCGCGACACATCATATCGTTACGAAAGGTCCGCCTGTGTTCGCAAAAGCCAGGCGCATGACCCCCGACAAGCTCAAAATTGCACGCTCCGAATTCGAGCACATGCTAGACTTAGGCATTATTCGCCCGTCTAAGAGCCCGTGGGCGTCGCCTCTACACATGGTGCCTAAAAAGTCAGGAGACTGGCGTCCATGTGGCGACTATCGCGCTCTCAATAACGCTACCGTCCCCGACCGCTATCCCATTCCGCACATTCAGGACATCACGGCTAGCCTACGTGGCGCCCGTGTGTTCTCGAAGATCGATCTGGTTCGCGCTTACCACCAGATCCCTGTAGCCGAGGATGACATTCCGAAAACCGCAGTCATCACGCCTTTCGGACTTTTCGAATTCTTGCGAATGCCCTTCGGTCTTCGCAACGCAGCTCAAACTTTTCAACGCTTCATAGACTCTGTCACGAGAGGTCTCGACTTTGTTTATCCTTATATAGACGACATCTTAGTAGCTAGTTCTTCCGAAGAACAGCACGCGGAGCACCTCAAGATGCTTTTCGAGAGGTTAGCCTCTAATAGCATTACTGTCAACGCTGACAAATGCATCTTTCAGCAACCATCTATCGAATTTCTTGGTCATCGAATTGACCAGCATGGCATACGGCCGCTCGAAGACCGAGTCAGTGCTATTAAGGACTTTCCCGTTCCGACTACTTTGGCCGCCATCCGCCGTTTTAGTGGGATGATTAACTACTACCGTCGATTTCTGCCACGTTGTGCCGACTTGCTCAGTCCATTGACCGACTTACTTCGTGGACGCAAGAACGGCAACGTCGAGTTGACGCCCGCTGCAACCGAAGCCTTCAAGGCCTGCAAAGAGGCCTTGGCTGAAGCCGTTATGCTTCACCATTTCGACCCCAAAGCTCCACTCAGCGTTGCAGTCGATGCATCGGACACCGCCATTGGCGCCGTCCTGCAGCAATTCACTGAGGGATGCTGGAAACCACTCGCTTTCTACTCCCGACGCTTACAACCGGCAGAAGTCAAGTACAGCACGTTCAGCCGCGAACTGCTGGCAGTTTATTCTACCGTCCGACATTTCAGGCACGTCTTAGAAGGTAATTCGTTCGTTATCTTCACCGATCATAAGCCGCTTATTTACGCCTTTCGAAATCAATCAGCTCGACACTCACCACGTGAGGTTCGTCAGCTGGATTTCGTGGCTCAATTTTCTACTGACCTCCGACACATTTCAGGTCAGAATAACGTCGTTGCTGACGCTCTTTCGCGCGTCTCCGCAATCCACACCGCTGGCCAGGCAATCGACTTATCTGCCATGGCTACCGCGCAACTAACCGACACTGACTGTCAGAACGTCAAACAAGATTCTTCGCTACGAATCACATCGCATCCACTGCCGTCATCTGATGGCACAATCTTGTGCGATACTTCTACTGGACGACCTCGACCCGTCGTTCCAGAAACCTTTCGACGTCTAGTTTTCGATACACTTCACAACATCGCTCATCCAGGCATCCGAGCCACGATCAAGCTCATATCCGAGAGATACGTTTGGCTCGGAATGCAACGCGATCTTAAGCGCTGGGCACGCGGTTGTCTAACGTGTCAGCAGGCCAAGATACAGCGGCACGTGTCCGCTCCGCTTGGTCGTTTTCCGCAAGTCTCAGCTCGCTTCGCCCATGTCCATCTCGACATAGTTGGACCCTTGGCACCATCCAGAGGAATGGTCTACATTCTGACCATGATCGACCGATACACCCGTTGGCCCGAAGCCGTACCTATACCCGACGTATCCGCGGACACCGTAACGCGCGCTTTCGTTGAGCGCTGGGTCGCTTCACATGGCTGTCCAGCCACCGTGACTACCGACCGCGGTCCGCAGTTCGAATCCTCGACCTTCAACGATCTTCTCAAAGTCCTCGGATGTCAACGCATCCGGACTACCGCCTATCACCCGCAATCCAACGGCATGGTGGAACGTTTCCACCGACAGCTGAAGGCCTCACTTAGTGCCGCTAATGCACTAAGCTGGACCGACGCACTGCCTATGATACTACTTGGTATCCGATCAGCTCTTAAAGCTGATTTGCACACGTCCAGCGCCGAACTGGTATATGGACAACCTCTTCGACTACCTGGGGACTTCTTTTCTGAAAACCCCAGAACACCCCGCTACGACGCGAATTACGCTCGGCAGTTAGCCACGAGCATGCGCCATATTAAAGTAACCGACGTGCGAGAACAACGACGTAAATCGTTCGTTCCACAAGATCTACTGCATTGCGCTTACGTTTTCCTTCGAGTCGATGGTCTACGCAGACCACTCGAACGACCCTACGAAGGTCCATTTAAGGTTCTTAAACGTAAGGACCGCGTATTCGTTATCGACCGCCACGGTAAACGTGAAACTGTCTCTATCGACCGTCTCAAGGTTGCCCATGTGGAACCTGAGATCGACGATGACTCCCGTCCACCTTCGGACGAGTCAACACAGCCTATGATCGACGACACGCCTACTTCCGATGCTACGAAGCATTCTCCGACTAACCCTTCCGACTCAGTTCCTTCCGATTCTATCGAGCCGAAAGCTTCCTCATCCGACAAAACTGCTGGATCGACAACGCCTCCGACCGAACGTCCGAAATCGACTAGGTCAGGTAGGCGGGTTCATTGGCCAGCGCGATTAAAAGATTAGTCTTCTTTTCATTCTTCCTTTCCCGCTTCCTTTTTGCTTGTGGCCTAACCCGCCCAACAAAACGGCAGTTTTGAAAACCCAAAAAACCGCAAAAACGTTTTGAAAACCTAAAAAAGGAGAAAATCGTTTTGAAAACACAAAATGGTTCTCGCTTTATTCGCTTATCGCACTCGGTAAGTGCTATCGCCTTTTGTTAGCTCTGTCGCTCGCACCTGTTTGACACTCCGCGTTTCCGCTTCTTTTTCATATCCCCGACACGCGGACGTTCAACGACAATCGAACGTTACGTTTTCGGACACTACGTGCTCAAACATCATGTGCTGTGACACTACGCACTCGAACGCTACGAACATTTCCCCCATTTTGTGTTTTTGGCACCTGTAGGGAGGACACGGGTGGGAGCCCCCTAGCGTCCGATCGCATTGGTTCTCCCCCAGCAGCTGCATCAGGTTTCACCGCCTGGTCTCGCAGAAGGCTGGCCGGCGACGGACAGTCCTCACGTAGATCGAAGGGTCACCTACGGTTCCCTTCTAAGAGGGGGGCTGTGTAGTGACCTGGAGATTCCCCTGTTTGGCTGCCGCATGCTGCGTAAAATATTACAAAATCACAAAATTATATTTTCTCGATGTACATAGCAAATTAGCCGCTCGCCTGTTTGAACGTTGCTCGCGTTTGTTTGAGTCAACATAGCATCCGCCTTCGAACGGCGCGACGCTCATCGGCTCCGCGGCCATCTTTGCTCTCCGCGCACGCGACCACACCTTTCCCCTAGCTAGCTATCTTCCGGTGCCTTATTTTTAGCACTAGATAGCGTTTCGCCCCACTTAATAAATTTTTCCTAGCGTTACTTTTGGTGTTCTCCACTCATCGGAGGTTGGCCTTATATTCGCGTATTGGTTCTAAAGCGTACCGATCCTGCTTCTCGCTTTAGACCCATCTCTGAAAGCATTTTATCTGGAAGAAGTTACATCAGATATTGTTTCTACCGGATTTACAAACTTAGGGAAATTCTCGTCCATATTTAATCATGAAATTTCGCGGACTTTCAATTATCCACCAAGGATGTTTACCTCTTTTGGTAGAGGAGTCTCTCAGCTTTCGACCATGCTTTCACTCATTTCATTCCAACAACCTGTGTGATAACTATAGAGAAAACAACGTTTTCACTGTGAAACCCTCTCCTGAAAGCAACTGACAACTTTCGCCGCTCTTGACTACAGCCGGTGCGACCAACCAACCTGCCCAGTACGATAATTGACTGCACCAAACGCCTTACCCACGATCGTATGACTCAAGGTCGCGACACACGAAGGACGATGAACCAACCGTCCGACCTTGACATGAATATCGACGACCGAACGCTAGGCGACGGCGACGCGTTACGTACCCGCAAGTAGAGCAGCGACAATTTGGCCATCACGGCTACAACACCGGTAACCCGAAACGAAGTGTATTTCGCTAAACAAACATGTGCTAAGGTAGCAAAAGTAGGCTTGACATGTATAAATTTCATTAGCCAATACCATTCGAACTGCGTCACAGTCTGTCGATCAGAATAAAAGAAATATGATACGTCGGGCTCGCTTTGGTGCTGTCCTAAGTGTACGGCGGTTCCACTCGTAAAATGCGTACTAGCATTAACACGGAAGTCCGGCAGTCTAGTTGCCGAAAAAAATTAATAATCAGCGAATGGAGACAACCATTGGACGTAAAGCAGGGATGAGATTGCGATCCCGTAAAAGTACGTGGTGTTTATGATTCCGGTACGCGGTGCAACTGGAAACCAAGTAAGGAACAGCCCATTTAAAAGAGACCATTGTTTCATGTTGTCCGCTCGGGTTTTATATAAACATTTCAATCACGTTAGTTGATGAGTACGCTCGCTTCATACAATGTGCTGATAGACGAGGATGCATGCTCTTAATTTTAAAGCAGGAGCATAGTTATGACTCTAACACGATACTGCACATGACGCATAAGCAACCATACCTTTTTCGCTTTCAGCATCAGAACTCTCATGCATACATCAAGTGAGTATACTGCAGCTGCATATGATGTGGTGAGTGCGACATTTTGTTTGCAAATAGGATTATCTCAACTCCTTCGGTGTGTTAATGTCGGTCTTCCATACACATGTACTCCTATTCGAATGAAGTGTATGAGCTGTCTCCCCCACCCCAACTATAGCATAAAATATTAGCAGCCGGCTAGCTACACATTCCTGCAGCTCACTTTTTGGTACTGAAGCGCTTGTTTGCATAGAGGTGACAGAAGTGGTAACGCTAATGGCTAAATTTTATCCACAGAAACCGTTTGCTTGTAAAGCTAATCAGTCACAGAAAATGGATCGGATTTCTTTAAATGTTGGGTGCACTGACATGCTGAATTTTAAGATAAACCGGTTGTTTCGAGAAATAAAATAAGCCTAATTTTTATGTGGTCCATTTACATTAGTACAACAGTCACTGGAATGGAAAAAACACAAGCAGCCAACGCTATAGCCCACATGCACTTCAGTAATGAGCAGCATGCAAAGCAAACGCTTCCTGCAAAGCATACGGCAGCAAGTTCATCAAAATCGTGGGAGCGCAATCCATGATCCCAACAACGAACAGCACTCTTTGAATGTATACTATTGTTCGGTGGAGCCTGGGATACTAATCGCTAATCATTGACACGTAAGAGACATGTCAAATACAGGACAGTTTAGAAGTTGGAGGCGACTGAACCCAATGTATATTGTGCAGGCTACAAATATAGGGAGCGAATCAGCCAGAGAGAGAAACGGTGCAGCAAGCTACTCACCAAAACCCTTTGTGTCAACGAATGTGCAGTCAGTTAAACAAGTGAACGTTTTGAACGTTAAAACAATCGTAAAATCCAATGTTGCCCAATACTGAAAGGGCTTGTTTTCCGGTAAACTACAAAGGCTTCCTCCTAGAAGGCTAATGGATGGAAGCCTTCAATGGAGCTGTTAGTTGGGGAAAACGGAAGGTGATGATGGGTGCGAATAGTTGCATGGGCTTGGACAAGAGCTTCCAATTTGGGGTGTGTAGCAGGATTTGCTGGGTCCAGGCTTTGGTTAGTTAATATTTATGATGATGGTGTGGACCAGAGTGCATCATCGGTGGGCCGTCGGGACGGGCTGGTCGGACTGCAAAATACTGGCTATTTCAGAAAAAGGCCGACAGGACCTTCCCTTTACTGTATACCCGATGGTGCGCTCGGGAGGTGTCACTCCCCCACCACACTCCAGTCCACGGTCCTAGTCCCACGAAGAAATCAAGGCGTCCTCGTCCCACGAAGAAATCTAGGCTTCTTCGTCGGCAACGCTTAGCTAGGCGTTCGGGGACCAACCCGTTCGTGGCTGTCTGCTACCGAGGGCAACTGAATGTTCCTCGGTGCAGGAAGAGGGTTTTGGGTCGGCTGGCGAATCACTTGGAGGTTGTGTTGAGCCGGTTTGCAAGTCATACAAAGGGTGGTCTTGGCAGTTCCGGCGGTTGAGTTTCTGAATTGTATAACTCAGAGGGAGTGGGCAAGGGTCGCTGGAAGTGGCTTGATGCCGGTAGGGTACATAGTATGCCTGATAAAAGTAAAGACTCTTTTTAGGTTTTCAAAATATTTTGGGTTTTTTGTCGATTTCGGAAAACGTTTGTAGATGAGACGCATGATTACCACTAGAGATGAAAAAGGCGTGTTAATGGAAATAGCAAACTTTTACAAAATCTGAAAAACGGACCGGACGTTTGACCTGTCTACCGCGTCGGTCGGTTGCCTGGTGTTGAGGCGGGGTAGGTTGAGGATCAAGGGGAACGAAGGGTTTCGAGATATCCAGTGCTGGGGAAGTCACCGCAGGTGCCGGTGCTTGTGTGATACCATCAGGATTGGTTGCAAGTGGCTCGTCAAAGAAAGCCACTTTGAGGCGGTCGATGGACACCGTTGTTCGGTGACCATGCTGGTCTAAAGTAAAATGTTTCGGAGTCCGTTGCGGAATTCTGTAAGGGCGAGTGTAGGGAGGCTGAAGAGGGTGCCGCACTGCGTCGATTCGGAGGAAAACGTGAGTGCAGGTAGAGAATCCGTTATGAAGTTGCACATCTCTAGTCTGCTCGCGGGGCGGAGTCGGGTGTAGTGAACGCATGCGTTGAGATAGGGAGGACGCAAACTTAGACGGAGGCATACCCGACGATGCGGGAGGTGAAACGAATTCTCCTGGTAACTTGGGCATTGTGTCGTAAACCAGCTCTGCTGGTGCACATTGCATGTCAGCTTTGATGCTATTGCGAATACCTAAGAGTACGAGCGAAACGTTTTCGCTCCAGCTAGGGTCGGTGGAGGCGCTGAGCGAGGCTTTAAGTTGTCTGTGGAAGCTTTCAACTAACCCGTTGGCTGCTGGGTGATACGCTGTGGTATGGATGCGGCGACAGCCTAAAAAGTTGCAGAACGTATCGATTTGTGAAGATTCGAAAGGCGTTCCTCGGTCAGTTGTAATGGTGGATGGGCATTCGTAGTGCGAGACCCACCGGTCCAAGAAGGCCCGTATAACAGTCTCAGCTATGCAGTCTGTTACGGGAATGGATTCTGGCCATCTGGTGAAGCGTTCGACACATGGTGAATGTATACGAATCCGCGTGACGTAGGCAAGGGACCCACCAGGTCTAAGTGTACATGCGAGAACCGAGAGTCCGGGGCAGGAAATGAACCAAGAGGACTGCGGGTGTGACAATGTACTTTGGAGCGCTGGCATTGAAGGCAGGCGCGAGCCCAGGTACGAACATCTTTGTTTACCCCTGGCCAAACGAAACGTTCGTTGACCAGTTTCCAAGATGCACGGATACCGGGATGTGATAGAGAGTGCAGTGCGCCAAAGACTGTGCGTATGAAGAAGACGGGCACGAGCGGTCTACGACAGTCTATGGAAGTGTCACAGGAATGGTTCCTTCCGTGGTTTGGGGAGGAACAGGTTGCACATGCAGCGAAGTGGACTGCAGAATGCGCTGTATGTCTTCGGCTTGAGCCTGAGCCGATGCCACGGCGGCAGGGTCGACGGTAGGCAAAGACTGGGGAGTGAGGTTGATGCGTGAGAGAGCGTCGGCGACGGGATTATCGACACCTGGGACATGACGTATGTCAGCAGTGAACTGCGTGACAAACTCTAGGTGTCTTGTTTCCCGTGGTGAGTAGCTGTCGCAAGCAGATTTGAAGGCGAACATGAGGGGATTATGGTCAGTGTAGACCGTGAAAGCGCGGCCTTCGAGTGTGTGCCGGAAGTGACGAACGGCTAGGTAAATGGCCAGCAGTTCTCTGCCAAACGTGCTGTAGCGGGATTCCGCTGGCTGCAGGCGCTTGGAGAAGAATCCAAGGGGTTGCCATTGTCCACCAACATGTTTTTGGAGGACTGCTCCTACCGCGACGTCTGAGGCATGAACAATGAACAATGATTTATGACGGGTAAAAAAGCAGGTGCTTGACATGACCCGTAGGGTGGATAGCGTGACAAAAAAGATAGCGAAGGGATAATGGAGTCGTCAGTTCGGGCGCTTACAGATGTAACTGCATTTTCGTATAAAGGGGGTTCGAAACGAGAATATACGCACACAAAGCAACAGGAGAGTGGTTATTGTTCACATCATAGGCGAGAAAAATTAAAAAAACGATAGCAAGGACAACGCTTACTTGTGTGCGATTACCGTCGGTCGACAGAATACAGAAATCCAGTGTCCATAGTAGTAGTGTTTATCAAATTTCGTGCAAGGCGTTTGGAGTGACTCGCTCTCGAGTAGGGTTATGGCACTATCCCCTGTCTGTTGTGCATTAGTGCCAGCATCTGGTGGTCATGAGCTATAGCACATAGTGTAAATGTGACAGGGTATCGTCAAGGCGTCTTTTGAAAAGTGTTAGGGTGGGTGCATTAATTACATGTTCGGGGAGGGCGTTCCAAGGCTGTGCCACTAGAAGGGAGAAATAGTTTCGCCGACATTCCAGGTGGCTGTACTGCGTGACTAACTTAAACTGCTGACCTCTTAGCGAGGTGTTTTGACTGAGAATTAGAAGGGAATGGCATGGGTGGTTGGGGTCTCTCAGGATTAGGTACACCATTATGAGATCGCCCATTAGACGCCGACAACCTCCACTGTATATTTTGAGCGTCCTCAGCCTGAGTGGGTAGGGGAGGCTGGTCAAACCTCTGACGCTCTTCGTTGCCCTACGCTGTGCAGTATCGAGCGCGGTGAGATGTTGCTTGAGCCAGGGTTGCCACGCTTCAATAGCGTATTCCGCGTGTGGCCTCACGTACGCACTAAGCATTTTTGGAAATATCGAAGGGTCAAACTTCCCGAAAGATCTGCGACGAAGGCCGAGATACTGCTTTGCTTTCTTATCTGCCTTTTCAGTCTGCCTCGAACAACCGAGGTCATCTTGAACTATCACGCCGAGATCACACTCGTGAGAAGCCTGCTGCAGTATTTGTGATCCTAGGCGGTAGCAGTGCAAACTCTTGTGCCGTATACTGAGAACCTTGCACTTGGTGACGTTGAAATGCAGCATGTACTCGATGGAGCATGTGTACGCTTTGTCCAGGTCCTCTTGTAACACTGTGTGATCTTCCACTGCAGCTATAGCGCGCCATACCTTTAGTTCATCAGCATATAGCAAGTAGTTAGAAGACAGCACACTCGCGAGATCATTTATGAAGACCAGGAACAGCCGGGGTCCAAGTACCGAGCCTTGAGGTACGCCGCACTGAAATTCGATGGATTCTGATAGGTTGCTTCTAACTCTCACATTCAGGTGACGTTGCAGGAGAAAGTTTCCTATCCAGCCCAGAACAGGATCACCGATTCCATATTTCTGGAGTTTGTGGAGGAGAATGCGATGGTTTATGCAGTCGAATGCTTTTGAGAAATCCAAATAGGCCGCCTTGATTCCAACACCAGCGTCCACAGATTCCGTCCAGTTTGTACGAGCAATCAAATATTAGTTGTACAGGAGCGATTTCTGCGAAATCCATGCTGTTCCGGAACGAGAATTTCGT